CTCGGGATTTGTGTGGGAAATATCAAACATGCTCCATGCTGGAGAATTCAGAGACTCCCACACTGCTGAAGGCCTGCAGAAGACTATTCAGTAAAAGACAAATCTTCCAAGAAGCTGAACTTAATTAGTCAGAGGTTGTCTAAAATCAGCACTTGAATTATTCCCCATCCCTCACCAAGCTAAGCACAGGTTCCTCCCCTGTGAATAAGCTCTTCTGAAAGTAAGGAGGCTTTCAGCCCACAAGCTATATTTCCAAACACAAACATGCACGCATGCAAACAGTGTTGCCAAAGAACAAAAAACCGGCTTAGATTTTTCTTCTGAGATTAACTCTGTGCCCTTACCTAAGTAAAGGAGGAAAAAAGTTCTATGTGTTTTTTTTTTAGGGTCACTGAGAAGTCATTTAGGTCTAAGCAATTCTTCCTTTACCATATACTTTCTTTTTTTTTTTTTTTTTAAGATTTTATTTATTTGAGAGAGAGAGAATGAGAGAGAGAGAGCATGGGGGGGGAGGGTCAGAGGGAGAAGCAGACTCCCCGCTGAGCAGGGAGCCTGATGTGGGACTCGATCCCGGGACTCCAGGATCATGACCTGAGCCGAAGGCAGTCGCTTAACCAACTGAGCCACCCAGGCGCCCTACCGTATACTTGCAACTGTTACTTTTTTTTTTTTCCCCAAATAAGAAGTGTTTCTTGTGGGCTTACTAAAAAGCTATAGGACTCTAATCAGAAATAACATTAATATAAATGGTCTCTACCACTAAATAGGAAAATCAGTTTTGCCTTTTAAATTTGATTTCTTTTTTAATCATTTAATTAGAACATGGTTCTAAAGCCCGCATTCATCTAATGCTTTCAAATCTATTTTTGTATTCTATTTGGAGAGACAAATCTGATATTATTATTTGTATTATCATGCTGACTCTCATAAAAGGCTCATTAATATATTTGGAATGACTAAGGCAGGCAGGCCACCTGTGATTCTTATTTCCCAAAAAGCAACCCATCCTCTAACCCCGCAAGAGCTGACATTACTCATGCTGTGGGGAAATAAGTAACAAATATGACTCTCCCTAAAATACTTTCTAATGTGTGTTTTCTTGAGATAAAGGGGAATAACGTCACTGCAAAAACTTGTCTACAGCTGAAGATGGGATGTGGTCTACTTTGATCTTAGGGCTGTTTAATCAGGGGGCCGGCTGAGAGATGCTTTCAAACTAAGCTAGCCCGAATGAATTTAGTGGTCCTATGATCATTTCTGTCCTTCCTTTTGTCCCTCACACAACATTAGGGTTTCCCAATGTTCTGACATCTACTTGGAGCTGGTGCAGTGACAGGGTTCAGCCATGCCAGCAATCCACACAATCTCGTATCCTCCACTCAGTGAACCTGTTCCCAGCCCACCTTTCACGTTGGGGCCCATTCCAACTTAGCAGAACTGACCAGTGTACAAAACTTGCACTAGAGAAAAATATTAAAAATAGGACTTAAACATTTACTTTTGGGGCAGCAAAGGGATAGAAACTTATACCAAATTTTAAAAAATAGAGATGTTAATGGTCTAGAGATGTTACAGTAACTAAAACTGCAAATAGGCTAGTACCCCCAGGCCATTTTGGAGAAACCTTTAAGACTATTCCAAACTACAAGAAATGCTTACCTTGCTGAAATGGGAAGCAGTTCTGTCCCCACCGACCTATGAAAGTCAAGGGCCTAAGTCGGGCTACTTCACAAGTATCCCTTCCAAGTTCCAGCTTTTGTTTTTCTGGGACATTCGACTTCTCCAAAGAAATTGAAAACAAGAGGCCTAAATAGTGCTTTTTAATATATCCTTCAACATATAACACAGTGTAATTATAGGCAACTTGATAAACAACACGAATTAAATGGCAGGAAAAAAGTATCATTCCAAGGTCCACTGGCTTTGCATTTGTCTCATGGATCAATTTCTAAAGTTCTGTTTGCCTCTTGGTTAATGTGCTCATGTTCCAGTATACAGAGTAAGCTCTTCGGATCCCAGAAAGTTTCTAAAACTGAGTAAAACTGCTTCCACCAAATGCTTTTGAAAAATTCTTAATTTTTGTTTTCTTTCTTAAGAGCCCAACTTCACTGTAGCTATGGTGCTCACTCCAACCAGGATATAGTCTCCTTCTCTCAAATGTACAACTTACTGGGGCTGACTTCTCATCTGCTAGGAAAAAGAGAAAACACCAACAAGTACGTATCTGTGAAGACAGGCCTCCTGGCCTGTGCTTCCACGTGCACCCCTGATATTAATTCTGGCCCCCACAAAGACAGCTACACCTGAAGCTGGCCAATCCTGCCTCGTAGCCCACTCCCAAGGGCTGTCTCAGAGCAGGAACAGTGGTGTCCGCACACCAGCAGCATCGGCTTCACCTGGGAACTTGTTTGAAATGCACATTCTCGAGCCCCATCCCAGAACCAAGGAATCAAAAACTCTGGGGGTGGGGCCCAGTTGCCCAGGTGACCAATGCCCTCAAGTCTGACCAATGTTCGTCCACTCAGAACCTGCAGGTGGCAGTAAAGGCCGGCTAGAAGGCCAGGAGCAGGAAGCTCAAGTTGTGTTACAGAACCTGCCTGCCTGACAACAGGGTCCTGCACAGCCCGCTCAGCCTCCTGCAGTAAGTCCAAAGGTCATAGGACATCTCAGTTTTGAACAGGAATTGGACTGAAATTCTCACAGCCCAGCAGTAAACACATTAAACCTACAATTTTCAGGGATGCAATCGATACTTAATTATTTTGAAGGTTTTTGTGTTTAATACAGTGAGGATACAAACACACCTCAAGAATGAAAATGTAGGGGCACCTGGGTGGCTCAGTCGTTAAGTGTCTACGTTCGGCTCAGGTCATGATCCCAGGGTCCTGGGATCGAGCCCCGCATCGGGCTCCCTGCTCAGCGGGAAGCCTGCTTCTCTCTCTCCCACTCCCCCTGCTTGTGTTCCCTCTCTCACTGTCTCTCTCTCTGTCAAATAATAAACAAATAAAAATCTTTAAAAAAAAATAAAAAAAGAATGAAAATGTCAATACCGGTTAAACAGAACAAAATAAGAAACTCAAATTATCATCAGCCCTTGTGTGTACCTGAATCATAACAAGGCCCTTCATTCTGAAAGAATGATTAGAGTTCCTACCCTCAAAATCTCATCGAATTGATGTGATAAAGGCAAGAAGAGGATTTTTCTAACGTAAAGCATGTATCCACATAGGCCTTTGCTAGATTCTGCCAAAACCCTGAATTTTGCTTTAATGGTTTTAGTATACAAACATCTGTAGTGAGGATGTGGACCAATGGGAACTCTCATACACTGCAGGTGGGGGTATAAATCGGTATAACCACTTCGGAAAACCGGTTAGCAGCATCTACTAAAGCTGAATATACAGGTACCCAGAACCAGCAATTCCACTCCTGGGTATACACCTCAGGGAAATGAGTGCCTCTGTCTACCAAAAGCCTCATAAAAGAACGTTCTTAGAAGTGTAACTCACAATAGTTACAAACTGGAAACAATCCAAATGCCCACCCACAGTGGAGGAAATAAACATGGATGTTCATACAATAAAGTATACACAGCAATGAAAACACAAACCAACCAATAAACGAAACCACTGCTCCACACAATGTGGATGAATTTCACAGATATAATGCTGAAAGAAGCCAGACCTAAAGGAGTACACACTTATCCAAACAGGCAAAACATATTTCTAGAGACAGAGGTTATCATAAAGGTTACTAAAGCTATCTAGCAACAGACATGAGCTTGCTGAAAAAGTTCTACTCCTTGACTTGGGGGGTCATTACAGGGGTGTATACATATGTATACACAATGAAAATACAGGGGTGTATTCATTGAATTGCCCTTAAATTTGTATACTGTATGTTATACCTCTTTATAAAGGAAGAACAAGTTAAACATACACACAAAAATTATTCTTGACAGACTGTCACACAGTAATTTTCAATATTCATTATAAAAGTCGAGGTTGCTGGGAACTATAACATCATCAGAGTATTGTTTGCTGTAAAAATAATGCATTTGCTGAGCTAAATCTAAAAATTAAATACAGCGAGCAAAGGATTTTCCTTATTTCCAATGTTTTGCCACCACATCAATGTATCATCCTTTAAGAGGGCCAAACTTTTGACTTGCACTCCCTAGTCCCAAACTCCTTTTATCCTGACACTTACTGGAGCCCATCGTGTGGAAACTGACTATCCATTATTCCAAGCTCCTGCAGACCCTGGATGGCTCCTCATCACCCAGGGGGAGGCTGAAAAGGCTTGGCGCCAGCATTCCTGTCATGATCTACCCACCTGAATTTCTTTGAACCACCTTTGTCCTAACCCCTACCACCATCTGGCTTCCCTCCTGCACACCCACCCAAGGCCTGGCCCAGGGCTGGGGCCCTGTTAAAAAAGTGCGGTGTCCGAGCTTTTTCCGGGTCCACTGGATCCGATCCGGTGGGAAGCCAGAGGCGGCCAGCTGCCGAGCGCGGAGAGCGGGGGACAGCAAACGGCACCCTAAAGCAGACACTCCAGGGCCCCACAGCGTGCCGCGAGACCCTGAGCCCACGTCGTTCCCCGCAGGCCTGGGCCACTCCTGCGGCCCACCCCAGCGTAGGCAAGACGCTCGGTCCGTTTCTGCGCTTTCGGATTTGGGTTGTGAAAACGGCAGCTAGCTGTAACCAGCGACCAAGATGAGGAGAACCGCTTTGGGAAGGGAATCCCGTCCCGCACCCGCGTCCGAGGGGCGCGCAGCACCACTGCCCACGGCGCGTGGCTCCGCGCGGGTAGCGCGACCCGCTGGGGTGCGCGCGTCGGGCCGCGGGCGCCGAGGGCCGACGGGGGGCGCGCCCCGCCGCTCCAGGTGGAAGTCCGGCCGCGCGCCGTCCCCGTCGGCCGCTCCGCGCGCTCTCGGGCCGGGCGGGGCGGGCGGGAGGCCGGGCGAGGCGCGCCGCCGCCCGGGCGGGCGTGTTTACCTGGAAGCAGGAATACATGTTGCCGGGCGCGAGCCCGGTTTCCAGAGTCCATGCCGCCCGCGTTCTCCGCGGGGCGCGAGCCCGACGCCTGCAGGCCCGGCGGCGGCAGGCCTCACCCGCGGGGCGCGGGGCCTGCCAGGAGCCGGGGGAAAATGGCGGGAGAAGGGTCTATTCCGGGTAGGGCCGCGCGCCGAGGCGCCGGCAGAGCCCGGGAGGCGGCCCGCGGGGACGAATTCACTTTCGTTTCCGGAGCCAGCCAGCTGCGCCTGTTAAGTTTTTAAATTTAGCGCCAGGCCGAGGCGGCACGAGTGGTGGCGCGTCGCCCGCCGGCAGGGGAAGGGTCGCGGCCTCTCCCCTCCGCGGCGCGGCCAGTGGTAGGTGCTCACCGAGGGCGCCGAGTGACGCGGCGCGCGGGGCGGCCGCCCTGGGACGCGGAGGCGGGAGGGGTCGCCTCGGCCCGCGGAGGGGTGGCGCGGCCGGCCGGGAGGTTCCCAGGGGCGAGAGCCGGGGAGGCCGCGTCCCCGGGGAGCGGAGCCCCGGAACCGAGGAACCGCCACCCCCGGAGGGCTGGAGGATTCGCGCACACCCAGCAGGGAGGAAGAGCCTGCGGCGGGTCCATGTTTAGGGCAACAGCTCTCCTATCCTAAGCCTGATGTCGCTCTTCTCAGTGTATCTTGCTCATCAGTTGCGTTCTGCTTTGGAATTAATGCCGTAACGCGTTGTAAGCAGTCCTCAAATTGGGTTTAGCCTTCACCACTAAACAGAAGTGTACAATTTGAGGCTCAAAATACGAATTTGTTATTTTGGAAGACTCTTAGTAATGAGTTAAAAATTACATTTGGAAAGCGTTGTTTAGAAAGAGCCATGAAATTTGGGGATTTAAACTTCGAAAAATAAAATTTTGTTTGAGAAAGTGGTGCCTGATACATGGTTTTTAAAAGGAAGATAATAAATGCATCTCTCATACTTTAAAGAAAAAGAGGTCTCCCTCCTCCCCCAGATCCCCAATCCCCCTCCCCAGATCCCTAGTCCCCCTCCCCAGGGGCAATTACTGTTAACAGTTTCTCGTCTGTTCTTCCAAAATTTTTCCATGCACATACAAGTCCATGTCTTACTTTTTTGCACAAGTGGAAGAATAATATTACATAACTTTTAGTGCACTTCACTTTTCTTGAAGACAGTTAAATCTGGCAGTACTAGATCTCGGCCTTCTGAAAAGGGTTTTAATTTCAATTCCATTCCCCGTGGGGGGTGGCAAATGCAGTTGAAGTCAACTGCAGAACACACCTCTCTGGCTGAGGAGGGACATCCAGGTGCCAACGCTGGAACAGGCAACAGATTAGTATTTCTCTGATCTCTTTCCTCCCCCAAGATTATACCATGGGAAAAGTTATGGTGTGTAAGCTAAATCCCCAGGCACACCATAATCATTACTAACAGCTACAAGAGAAGCGTTTACCCACAGTTCCCTCGCTCTGACATGCAGAGTTGTTTTCATTCTTCTCTGATCCTTTCCAGCCGTTGGCTGTATGAATATGTATTTGTTATGTGGTTGTTTTCACGGAGTAAAGACAATTTTGTCTGCTTTTCTCCCTTAACATTGTATAAACATTTTTTCCATGGCATCCAGAATATTGTTAATGGAGACATTATTTCACACTGCTAATGTACCAGGGTTACTTAACCATTCCCTAGTGCGCAATATTTAGGTTATTTCAGCCTGTTATTATAAATAATGCTTCAGTGCATACTGTCCATGGACTTGGCTGAAGTTCAAAGAAAGGAACTAGATGTACACGTAGCAACATGGATGCTTCATATCAAGAGAAAAAAAAAGTTAGATGCAGGACTAGATTTACAGCAGAATACCAAGTAGATAAATTAAAAATACACATAGAACAACACTATATCTTTTTTTTTTTAAGGTTTTATTTATTTATCTGACAGCAAGAGAGCATAAGCAGGGGGAACTGTAGAGGGAGAGGGAAAGCAGGGCTCCTGCCGAGCAGGGAGCCTGATGTGGGGCTCGATCCCAGGACCCTGGGATCATGACCTGAGCCGAAGGCAGACACTTAACCATCTGAGCCACCCAGGTGCCCCATCACTGTATCTTTTATAAGGATACATGCACCTTTAAGACCATGTATCAAACACATAAGGAATGGTCTTCAAAATGGAGGGGAATGGGATAAAGGACAGATAAGGAATGAGGGGGCAAGAAAAATCATGAGAGGGACCAGTGCGCACATGGGCAACTGTCAACTATGTTTTATGAATGAGAGTATAATTAATTCTCTGACATTTAGGTCCAGGGACAAAAACTTTTTTTTTTTAATGTGTTGCAACAAACATTTCTAAAAAATTTCCTTTATCCACTCAAAAAATGTATTTTAGTACCTTCTTGGAAGGCATACCAGTGGTGATATGGGAAAACAACTTGTCCTCGGGGTAAATAAAGTCCAAGGTATTAAGCTTGGAACACAGGGACCTTGAGATCTGGTCCTCACTTGCCCCTCCAGCCACACTTCCCACTGCCTCCCACCCTGTCCACAGTCTGGCCACGAGGACCTGCCCTTGTCACATCTAGCCCTTGACACGGTTCCCAATTCCAGGGCTCCACTGCCCCCCTCCCCCACCCCCACTAGCCTCATTCCTTCACCTTCTCTCTCACCCTCCACCACTGGTTGGCCAACTCTTACTCATCCACCAGGGGCGCCTGGGTGGCTCAGTCGTTAAGCGTCTGCCTTCGGCTCAGGTCATGATCCCAGGGTCCTGGGATCGAGCCCCGCATCTAAACCCCTCATCTAAACCCCTCATTGAAACCCCGCATCGAAACCCCGCATCGAGCCCCGCATCGGGCTCCCTGCTTGGTGGGAAGCCTGCTTCTCCCTCTCCCACTCCCCCTGCTTGTGTTCCCTCTCTCGCTGTCTCTCTCTCTCTCTCTCTGTCAAAATAAATAAATAAAACCTTAAAAAACAAAAAAAGAACTTACTCACCCACCAGGTCTTAGACAATTCCTTCTCTACAGCACTTCTCCTGCTGCCCCCCAACACTTCCCCAAGAATGAGTGAGATGCCTCCAGTCTTCCCAGTTATGTCACTAGGTAGTGGAGCCTAATCCTCCTTCAGTTCCTTGAGGAAGGACAGCATCTTGTAACTCACCACTTAATCCTCAAAAAATAACAATGGCTCTCTCTCAGTACTAACTGTGACAGCACTGTGCTAAACACTTAACTCAGATGATCTCTTTCCATCCTCCACAGCCTTAAGGGGAAGTATTAGTGTGATCCCCACGTTTTACAGAGGAAGAATGTAAAGTTTAGAGAGATCAACTAATTGCCCCAAATGCCCAATCAGCAAGTGGCCGAGCAGGAATACCAACCCAGAAACAGCTCTTCATCTTCCCTCCCTCCTTCCCTGGTGTCCAAGCCTAGGGCAAAGCTTACCAGCACAGCATGAGCTTAGCGTGGATCTTTTGAATAAACATGTATATGGATAGATAGGCAGTTATGGCACAGTATGGCTTGTGGTGTTCTTAAGTGTGACAAATAAGAACAAGTTGATTACACCCAGTATACCATAAAATATTCCACAAATTAATTTTTATACTAGTCACACTAACATGCAAAGAGACAAGCAGGTCATTCTCCAAAGAACAAGAAACAACAAGTAGAGAATTGAGTGAAGAATCATAGAAGCTCCTCTAAATGCCAGAAGCAAGAGATGTTCGTTTTCTAGTTTAAAAAAAAAAAAAAAAGGAACTGGGGGAAAAAAAATAAGTTCAGAGTCAAAGGACCTTTAGCAATGCTTAGTGGTGGCCAGAGCAGAAAAAGTTCTAAGGGTAGAGAAAGGATTTTTCTCTCTCAGAGATTATTAAAAACTTATGAGAATGCTTTTTTCAAAACAAAATGCAAATGAAAAATTGCATTTATCATCACTTTTATCATAAGAAAAGATCGTTGCCTTGTTTTTGTCTTGTTGCCAAATGTTCATCTTAGTGACAACAGAGAAGGCAACATCAAGCATAAGCTGGGGAGGGGAAAGGGATCAGCTCTCACAAGAGCCAATTGTTTAGAAAGGGGACCAAAGAGTACTAGTGAACCCTCCTTTCTGGGGAGAATATTTCCTTTATGTTCACTCTCTTAACCCACCCAACCTAAAAGTGGATTGTGCTTGTTGCAAAGGGGCAGTGGGCACACATAAACCAGTGAGATCTGCCAGTTCTGGAATAAGAATGTGCGAAACCAAGGCAGAAGAAAAATTATTAAATTTCCTAGAGCCCACTGACAAGTCCTTGAAACAGGAAGAGTGACACTCCCCTAGGGACTCAACTGCCTCCCTGTTAATACTTTGCTAAGGGCAAAAGGCAATTCTAGTCTCCCCCCCGCCTCCCCACCCCCCGCCTCCTCCCCCAGGATCCTGTAAGTCTACTTTAACATATAAAATTTTCTTTAGAAATTTCCTTTATCTGTACACCCCAAGATATGTGTTGGCAATCACCCCCCAAGTATGTGGCCCACCGATATACATCTGAAGGGTCTCATGACTAAGGTTTTATTAGACGGTAAAAATGGTCTTTTCCCAACAATAGCTAGTCCCCTCAAGGTCCTGGAAACCTTGCTTCCAAAATTCCTTAGAAACTTATGCTATCCCTAACCCTCTCCCAACTTGAAAGTAGACTATCGGCCACTCCTCATGACCCCATTGCAGCTCTTTTTGCCCACGGGTCCTGTCCCCATGCACCTTTTTGCACCAAAGACGTCTCAAGAATTCTTTCTTGGCCATTGGCTTCGAATCCTAACGTCTTTCCTACATCAAGAATAACTGAAGCTATTACGAAAGGAAGAAGAGCAACCCCTGACATGGAGAAGCTGCCCTGGGGCTCACAGCTGGACCATGTGACTCTCCCAGGAGACATAAACAATTTCCCAGAATACCAGCCTCACACAAGTCTGCCCTGAGACCAGAATAAAACGACACAATGCCAGGCCACTTCATGCTTTTGGCAAAGCGCAGACAAAAATGGGTTACTGTGGCATCCACAAAATGCCACACACCTCCCCTCTCAGCCAAAATGAGTGACTGCTACTTCTTTACTATTTCTGGCTTTCTCCTCATTCCAGCTTCCCCTTTCTGTAGATAAGATTCATTGAGATACCCAATCCCAGAACTGCCCCACTTTCCAACAGCACCCAGTCTGGAGACAATTCCTGTTTCCTTAGACTCTCCCCCAAGTCACCCAACCAAAGCCCAAACTCCAAAGCTTCCTTCTAACACCCTCTTACTAAGCCCGGTGAGTTTCCATAGCGTGTTTTCACCCTCCCTGCAACAAGTAACAAACCGAACTTGTTCAGCTATCAGTGTGTTCCTGGTAGTCTTTTGCTGAAGCCTATTGACACCATGTTTACACATTTCAGTCTGTGTGTGTGCATACAGTTATAAACATTACATATATTTACATAAAATCAAGG